TAGCGTCCTTCATCTACGGTGTTAACAGGTTAGGAGGGGAAGGGAGACATTTTCTTCCTGATGATGTTCACAAGCGGGCCACAATGAACTCCGTCCCTTGAGCACCTTCCCTCATCTTGTGCTCACGATCTGGCTTCCCATTTAACGAAGCCGTGCTTCACCACAGTCTCCACGATCGGGTCCTTTTCCCACCCAGGGTTGTACCAAAAGAAGAAAAAAAAACAGTTCTTTTTTTTTGTCCTTCTGCGCAGCAGAACCGAAAGCGCGCTTTCCTTCAATCGTCAATCAGGGGAAAAAACGGGCAACGAACGTCAACACAGCCTCTCGCCCATAGGGAACGTATGAAAGCGAATACCATATCAAGCACGCGTACTGAAGCAACCCACAAATCAGACACAACACAGCGGACTTCAACGTAAAGGCAACGACAAAAGTCAGGAGCAGCGATCCAATGTAGAGCATGGAGGATGTGCGTCGGTACTCATCGCACATGTATTGAAGCTGAGCGTGGGGGCCCATAATGATCAGTGTACTCGCCAAAGACATTGCGCTCCCAAGCGTTGACAAAACCGAATACTTCCAATAATATCCAATGCCCAGCGCGACCCACCCCATTGCGCTGGAGAAAAACCCCAGCGCTGTAAAGAGCAAGTATCCTTGTATGCGCGAAGACCAAGAAAGCCCCTGAAACCACTGCTCGTCATTGACGTCAAGGGTGTCCGGCTCAGCAATCTCCACTGGCACCTCCATCACTGGCACCTAATTGCTTTTTTGATAGTTCTTTTCCTTCCTTCCCTCCCGAATGATCACTTTTAAACGCGCAAGCAGGCAGACACTTAGCAGACAAAAGCACACGTGATTGATGTTGAGTTGTATTGTCTGCTCCTGAGAGCAACAGTCCTGGAAATACGAGATGCAGAATGTCCACAATACGGAGGGGTGGGAAAGCCAGACTAGCATTTCGAGCAAAGAAAAGCACGAGGGGGCACGAAAGAAAAAAAAACAAAAAAATGCGCGAAAGGACCTCCTTCCCACTACTAAACACACACAATTTATCCTATGGCTGCCCCGACCAGAGACGAAGACACTCGCCAACCGCACGCCCTCCATATTAAACGTTTGCGGTATTCGGTAGAGCATCCGACTCCGAGTGAAAGAGAGAAGCGGCATATGTTCCCAAGTGAGCAATAGAAATAACAGCTGAAAGCCACATCAAAGCGAAAACGAAGTGAGAGGGAGGATAGAAGTAGCAATGGTAGCCAAAGAAACAAAACGATAGAGGTGTGCACCGATGCACTACTTGAGGAATAAGGTCATCTGGAGAAACCACAAAGGAGATATGCACATGCAGCACAAACGCTTTAATGAAAGAAACAAGCACGTCTAGTAACACTGAAGCCAAAAGGAAAGAGGAAGGGGCACAAAACAAAAAAACCCACGAAACCCCAAAATAAAAATAAACTATCTTTGTTTTTTTTTTGTTTTGTGTAGGGGGAGGGGCGGGGGCATCGCAAACGTGAAACGATAGGGTGAAGGAATCAAAGTGGAGATTATGCCACAGAAGCACACACCCATCCACACACATATATGCGATGCCTCACTGTGTTAGCTCCCAGCGCGCCCTGTACTCGCCGTTGGATGCCATCAGCTCATCATGGCTACCATGTTCAATGATTCGCCCAACGTCCAACAATACAATTTGATCGCAGTATCGTATGGTTGGGAGGCGATGGGCAATGCTCACCGTTGTTGTTCCATAAAGGTTTTGTAGCTCGTCAAGGTTCCGTTGTACAGCAGCCTCTGTGGCATTGTCTAAAGCGCTGGTAGCTTCATCCAACAGAAGTAGACGGGGTCTTCGCAAGATACTTCTCGCAATGGCGACCCGTTGCTTCTGGCCACCGCTCAGCTCGTTACCTCGGTAGCCCACTTGTGTGTCGTACCCGTCAGGCATATTCATAATTTCATCATGAATGCAAGCCAAACTAGCAGCCTCCTCAACTTCCTCATCCGTGGCATCCGGGCAGGAATAGAGAATATTATCCTTCACTGTCCCACTAAACAATGATGGCTCCTGCAGCACAATGCCAATGTTCTTCCTCCATGAAAAAATATCAATCTCACGTAGATCCTTCCCATTGATGAGCACACGACCGCCTGTGGGGTTATAAAACCGAGCGAGAATCTGAATTACAGTCGACTTGCCACACCCAGTCTGTCCCATCAGGCCATTTGATGATCCGCTAGCAAAACACAGATTCGTAGAATCAAGCACTATAGTATCTGGGCGCGAGGGGTAAAAAAATTGCACTCCTTTAAAACTCACATCACACTCATATCCAACATCATCATCCCCAGCATCATACACATCTATGTCGGGGATCCGGTCAATGATGCAGAATACTCGCCTTGCAGAGAGTGAAGCCTTGATATAATTCCTCGCTAAGCCGCCCACTTCGGAACCAGCACCCATAAGACACACCATAATAGCCATTGAAGAAACCATAACCTGTTGAAATGTTGCTTCCGACGAGGCAATGAGGGTTCCCCCGTACCAGAAGGAAAGTGCAACGGTACCGTAGTAGAAAAAATTCATCAGGCCGGCAGTTATCCCCAAAAAACGGCTCAACTTCTCCGTCCGGCTTTGACTCTCTGCAAGAGCGTGAGAGTAACGCAACACCATTGGGTCCTTCATGTTAAAGGATGCGATGGTACTAATTGCTGAAAAGGATTCGGAGGTGATCGTATGAAGCGCAACATCTCTATTTTTTGTGACGTAGGCAGAAACGAATTTGTCCTGAATAATCATACAACCAATGACGAGCGGCATACACGCCGTTGCAACGAGAGCCACTTTCCACTGAAAAAAGAGACTCACACCGATGCCGCCAAAGAAAAATACAACCATTCGGACCACTGCTCCCACTGTTGGACCCCAAAGTTGGTGGATGATCTCGCAGTCGCCTGAGATGATGCCAGAGAGAGCTCCAGGTTCATGACCAGGCATATCAAAAAATGTTTGATCCTGCCGAAGAATTGAACGGAAAAGTTCTACCCGAAGGAAGTACGTTAGGTATTCCCCAGCGTAAGCGTAAAAGCTCTGAAGTACTGAGGCTAAAATGTTCAAACCAGCCAGACCAGCAAAAACAAAGGCACCAATCATCACGTTCTTTTGCATCTTATTCACGTCACCATCTAGGCCGTATTCACCCATAACATTCACCATCAATGCAAAGACAACCCCAGACCCTGGAAGCGCAATAGCATTGAGCACTGAACCTAAAGCCCCCAGTGCGATTGCCCACCGTCTGCCAGTAAGGTGCATTACCCTCCGAAATGAGACAGTAGTTTGATCCACTTCCCATTCGGCACGTTTCTCAAATGGCACTTCAATAGGTGAATAAGTGATATTTGAAATGGAAGCTAACTCTGGACTAGTATCATAAGAAATTTGGGCATCATTGTCATCAGCGAAATCACTCATGTTGCCAAAATTGTTTATATCCCCTTCAGAGGAATTGCTGTAGAGGTACAGGCTGTTGTTCATTCCAAAGGCCCTCTTCAGCGGACGCTGTGCGTTACTTTGCATCATTGCCATTGCGGCGAAGAAACCGTTTTGGAGCATCAACTCGTCGTATGTACCGTATTCTGCGATGTAGCTTCCTTTTCCAGGGGTTCTCTCCAAGTGGTATATGCAATCCACGTACCTTATTGTTGAAAGCCTATGAGCAATCACGATAACCGTCATTCCCTCTTCTTCCATCAATGTATTCAGGGCCTCCTGCATTTCCAGTTCTGACTTTCGGTCCAAGGCACTGGTGGCCTCGTCAAGTAAAAGAATTTGGGGCATTCTCACCAATGCACGAGCAATCGCCAATCGCTGCTTTTGGCCACCACTTAGTTGGCCCTTTCCCACTAGAGTGTAGTAGTCATCAGGTAACTGCATGATCGTATCATGAATGTTGGCTCGCGTACAAGCATCGATGACATCATCCAGAGTGGCTTCCTGATTACCCATGCGAACATTGTCAATAATGCTTCCAGAGAAAAGTTGGGGCTCTTGTGATACCACACCAATGAGGCTTCGCCAATCGTAAAGGGACAACAAACGTAAATCGTCTCCATCAATCAACACCGCTCCTTCGGTTGGATCGTAGAATCGCTGGATCAAACTGAGTATTGTGGACTTTCCACATCCAGTCACACCGGTAAATGCAATTTTTTGACCTCTTTGTAGAGTGAAATTCAATTGATCAAAAATCGGTTCGCTTGGGCGACCTTCATATCGAAAAGAGACCATTTTAAATGTGATCGAGTCCTCAAAAACCTCTATTGGCCAGCCATGAGAATCAATATCAATTCGAGGAATGCGATCGATTGTCTTGACGAGCTGATACGCAGCGGACCTAGACTCCATGAATGCGACAAGGCTCGGGAACATTGAGGCCAGTCCCATGGCAGCGTACATAATTGGCATGAAACTCGATGTAACGCTCCCCACATCACCCCGCCCCCATATTATAAGGTAGGAACCGAATACCACTCCACCCGCACATGCAACCATAATAATAGCTGTCATCAGTCCTACCGCTCCTCCAATTAAGAATCCCTTCTTTATGCCGGAATCTCGTGAAGCCAACAGAGTAACAGCAAACCGATTGAGTTCATATTCCTCTTGGTTAAAGGTTTGCGTTGTTTTGATATTCTCCATCACCTCTGTAGAAATAGATGACGCTTTGGCGTATTGATTGCGGCACTTTGAATTGCAACGGCTCACGAGCAGCATACAGACTCCAAATATAACACCGGCAATAGGAAATCCCGCCATAATGAAAAGAGTGAGTTCCCATGAAGAAATAATCGCAAAAACGAGCCCAAAGACTGCAGTACCCAAGCTCACAATACCTTTAGAAAGTCTCTCATTGATACCGTTTTCCACAGCATGCATGTCAGTCGTAATGCGGGAAACCAACTCGCCTGGCTTGTGTCGGTCATGCCAGCTAAGGTCCTGTCGCAGTACCGCATTGAAATAGCGTATTTTCATGTTTCCCACCTGTCTGGCGGCACTGAAAACCCAACACATGTTCTGCACAGAGGTTAGAACGAAATCCACAGAGCCCAATATAGCCATCATCACGGCAAACTTCGTCGTCACGTCGTGCGCATCACCCATTATGGCAGAGCGCGCCATTTGCCCGAATATAAACATGAACGCTGGGGAACTCACTCCACTACCAAATGCCGCCAAGGCTCCAATAACCATGATTATTCGTTCGAGGGTTGTAGCGCTCCGAAACATGTCAGCGATGGATGCCCTCTTAACGGAGATGGCCTCGCTCTGACTGAAATCATCATAATCATCATCATCATCGTCAAAGTCGCTTTCAGAGTTGATTGGGCTAAACCCATATATTTCATACATTTCTTTAAAAGACAAAAAAAAAAAACTACATGAGAACAAATGAGAGCAAGGCATCATGGATTGAACGAGAAAGTAACTCACCCATACACACACAAACATAAAGAGAGAGAGAGAGAGAGAGAAAGAGAGCAAGGACGTAAATGCAGACGAAAGATTGAGAGTGCATTCAATGATGTACAAAGCCCTCAAGCGCACCTTCACTTCCGGGGGAGGGGGTTGCTCTGTACCTCTAGTGTACCTAGAGTGAGTGTGTAGAAGTCTTCTATATCTAATGGAATAAAAGATAAATATAAACGCACACACACAAACATATATATATATATATGTTACGTAGGATTCTAACGCATATAACAAGAACAAAAAATTATTTCTGTGTTATTTTGTTTTGTGGAGTGTTAATGATTTTCTCTACTGTATCTAGCCGACTTTAACAGGGTAGATGAGCTCAACCACCTTATCCCATGTCATCGCCCGCATATCCTCCAGGCTGCCAGACTCACTGTGAGTACACAAGACAATGTCCGCCATGTGTAGATTACTCTCCGTGGAGGCCCCACCTTCTGCGATGATGAGGTTGGCGGTGTTGTAATGTCTGGAGGTGACAAAGCCTTCAGTGAAGCCAATGCGCTTCTGGGAGAGGGGCAGTTCCTCATGACGGAAGCCATACTCGCTCTCATCGAGCCACTGCTTCTCCCTTGCAGAGTCGTGCACGTATGCTTCTGGTAGTATCCAGCAGCCCCTTACAAGGGCAGTGAGCAACTTGATCGTTAGCTGACCGTTAGTAACAAGGTGCGTCAGATTGGAGGGAACTGGTGTGTTGGATCGGCACTCTGCCACTGTAGCGTAGGGCATCTGTTTTATTTCTGTCAGCAGTGCCGACCCTTCGAAGCCGCTAATGGTGAAAACAAGTGGCTCAACGGAGCGGCTCTTTTTTACCGCATGTTTAGTTGCCGTTGACAGTGGAATATTCACTGATGATGCACTTCGGAGTCTCTTGGCCCCACCATCACGATGCGGTGGAGTAGGTGAAATGGAAGCATTTCTCAGCGAACGTCGGAGTTCTTCGTCAAGCCGCTTCTCCAGCAGCGCACACCGGTTTGTAACGGCGCCAAGCTCGATATCAAGATTTTCAGCCTTTTTGTAAGTTGAAAGATATTTGCTCTTGTATTCCTCCGCGAGTTCCTCTGCGAGCTTCTTGTCACGAGAAAGCTGCTGCACAACATCTTTCTCGCATCCCGCCTCCTCTAGATGAGCCCGCAAATCGGATATAATACCACGACTCTCAGTCTCTTGCTTGATTTTTTCCTGTACGGAGGAGGATAATTCACTCTTTACACGTAGTAGTTCTTCCTGTGTGGAGGCGAGTTGATCCTTCAGACCTTGAATGTCCTTTGTGTACTCGGTTACGGAGATATCTTGCTGTGTCATCAGCCGTTGCACCCGCTCCTCAGCGTGGTTCAAAGCCTCGCGCAATCCTTCAGCTTCTTTGGACCCCGATATGTGTTCCTGTTCCGTCTTCAGGGCAGACTCCTTTGCAGTTTGAAGTTCATTCTCCAGTTGGCGCATGTGCTTCTCCCGCTGTGCCAGAATTGCAGTAACTGTTGAGAGCTCTTCTGACGTCTTTGTCAGCTGGCGCCTGAGAGATGACCTTTCTTCCTCCATCGACAGCCGACCACCCTTCGCTTCTCGGACAAGAGCCTCCGTCTGCAATTGCTGCTGGCAAAGCGCAAGACGATGTTCATCAAGAATGCGCTTGATTTCCTTTTCGTGGTCATGATTCAACTGTTTCGCCTCCTCTTCCGCGAGTTGGCACCGATGGCGCAGAGAAGATAACTCGTCATTGAGGCAGCGGGACTTGTCCTTCTGCGTCTGAAGCTCCTCTCTAAGATCCTTCACAATCTCATCCTTTGAGGCTGTAATCTGTCGCATTCGCTCCTCGTCCAGCAACATCTGTGAGTTGAGTGCTTCGGCATGTGATTTCTCGATCCTTTCGACAAACTCAGCGTGCATCTTCTCCAGATCTGCGCAACGGTTTGCATGTAATTCAAGGGAACGCTGTGACTCCTCGTACTTTTCCTGGAGAGCATTTAAACTAGAGCGAAAGCCTTCTTTTTCTGTTTGTAGTCGCAAGCATTCCTGCTCAGCTTGAGCGTTACTTGCTTCCAGTGATTCAAGTTCTTCGGAGAGTTTGATTATTTGATCCCGCATGGCTTCTGTACGGGAAGTGCCCTCCGTCTCCGAGCGCTCCGCCATCTCTGCGAGGCGCTGGTTGTGCTCCTCTTTGATGTCACTCAGCTGCTTCTTTAGAAACTCGTTTTCGCTCTTGCGCTGGGCAATCATATCATTCAGTTGGGTCTCCAGTACGTGTCGCCCCTTCGCTTCTCGATCCGCTCTTGCGTTGGCTTCATCCAACTCTCCTTTCATCACCTTCACATAATCACGCATTGTTTGGAGCTCCTCGCGTACCTGAGTCAGCTCAAACCGTGTGATCTCCAAGTCACGCTGGCTGTTTGACCATTTCAGGCGTTCACGGGTCATCTGGTTCACACGTGCGCGCAACTCGTCGATCTCCTGAAGGGACGCAAAAGCCGAGTTGGATACAGAAAGCCGGCACGAAAGACGCTGGGAAGGGCATTGCATAAGTCGCACAGTACTGGCACTGAAGGGCATCTTCGTTAGCTCTATCTCAGTCTCCATTCCTGTCCGTGCAGTCGAGCCTTCGAGAGGCTGGCGCTCCACATTTGTATCAGTCCGCTCCTCGCTCTTCACTTCGAGCTGCTCGCTCGCATCTGGAATGGGGTCCGTCATGTGAATACTCTTCTGCAGCCACATGCTGTCGGCATCGTTGACGTTGATGCTCATAGAGCTCCTTTCACCCATCTCGCACATAACAGCATGAACAGAACAACAACAACAACAACGACAAAAAAAGAAAGACAGCTGATTAAACCCAGCAGGGAAGAAAGCCAAGCAGCACAGCAGGCCACACGTCACACTGAAGCAAAACAAACAGACGAACACTCACACACACACACAGAGAGAGAGAGAGAGAAACACACAGACTCTCTCGAGGCTAAAAAGAAAGGGTAAGCCTTAAACAGAGGGGCAGTAGTACTGCTCGATCATCCTATAAAAAAGCCATAGTTGAGACTCCTCCACGGGCGTTGTAATGCCGCCTTTCGTCAGCTCATGCACCTTTGTTGCCTGCTCCTCCTCTGTTGCGTCTAACACAACGGCTGAAGGCACACAGAATGTAACGCCATACTTTTTGAGAGCAGAAGGATCACGCTGTAACTCATCAATGATAGCCTTCCAACTCTTAGTGTCGCCCTGGCAAACAACACTCACATACTTGCTTTCTGTGCGTCGCTGCTGTTGCTCTCGTTCCTTTATAAAAACTGGCAAAATTTCGTCAGATGCATCGCAGTCAACTAAAAAACTGGTACGTTCTTCATAGGGTGCAAATATATCCTTGGAGAAATGTGTGGGTGAGAATTTGTCCTTATCCCTCGAGAGATCTTGGGGGCCCGCGCCAGTAACCTCAAGCTTCTTTATGCTCTCGAGACGACGAACCCTGCCGTTCATCATCGCAGACTTGTCCTCCAGAAGACGAAGGAATTCTGCGACGTTTGCTGATGTAACCTTCACATGAATACCGTTAGGGATCAGCTCTACAAGCTTACCGTTGCGTGGCACACTAAATGTCAGGTTTAGTTGTGCAACTTGTGCCCCCATCACATGTCCCTGCTTCACCGCTTCTACCCTGGTGTAGAACTCGGCCTCTGACGTACCCACCTCGCTGGAGGATGTGTTACCTGTGTTCACCTTTGGCATTGATGCATCCATCGCCACCGCGAATGCATTAACATTTGGACTCAGCAGACCCCCCTCCAAGTTAGTCGGGGAGAAGGGCGACTCCTCCTTGTCGCGCACCGGGTTGCCGCCCTTTGTAACCGGAAATGTGGCGCTTTTGGGACGGGGTGCGGATACGGAACTCGAAGGATTGGCACCACGTTTGCCCTTTAAGGGATCGTTTGTGCGAGCATTGCGGTACCGCCTGACGCAATCCAGATACTTGGGCAGGTCCTTATACTTCACATTAATCGTCGATCCGTTCTCAATAAGGTCTTGAATCGTTCCATCAGGCAACGGTGCCACCCATTTCAGATCCGCTTTCTCAAAGTCGCTTGGACTGTACTTCACTAGTTCGTCAAGGTAGCCAAAGAAGTCTCTGTTGGATGTTGGCGAAAGCAAAACATTGGGCTCTTCATTATTTTCACTGCCACCAGCACTGGCTGCGTTACTCTTCGCAATCAATATCGGTGCGGACACTTTTTGTTCACTTCTACCTCGTACTGGTGTGGCGTCCTTTGTCTTTTTCAGCTGCTCAGCAATTGTCTCCATGGCCTCTTGCCCCACATTGACGTCGAACACATCACCAATAGTTGCCAAACAAACAGCCATCTTGCCGATCACCGCACGGACTTCGCTATGTTCAAAGGGTGAGAGCGAGGTCTCATTGTGGTACGCAAGATTGCACAACTCGCCCGTACATGACATCATCTGCATCAGCGAGTGCACAATCGCCCTGTTATTTGGCATAACGCCCATCAGTGCCAACCGTTTCCGGTTCTCAACGGCAATATCCTCAAATGTGGGCGCGCGGGTCGACGGCGTTTCTCTCGAGTGCATCCCAAACAGTACTCTGCGGCGTCTATTAGCCGAACAAAAGGTATCGATAAATATCAGGAAGAAACCAACAACAACAACAAAAAGACGAAAGAGGTCACTGCACTTATAAAGGAGAGCAAACAGTCACAAAGCACGCGTTAGAGAAACCCCAACAACATGGTCTGTGCAATACGAAGGGGAGAGAGAGGGGGNGGGGGGGGGGGGAAGTTGATTCCCTCCACCATCATTTCCGTCGTTAATCGCCTAAATCAAAAAGATAATAGGCGTGACGGCATTACAAACAAAGTGTTGTATCACACCTACATGGGAAAAGGGGCGCTATCAGGCACCACCTTTTCCCAGTAGCGGCGCACAAAGTCATGCACGATGTCAGAGGCGTTACCGGAGTCCAGCCTGAGACCACTCAGTTTGCAGCGTGCACCTGTAGTCTTTCCCTTGTCGAGTGGTACTATAGGTACAGAAGAGAGCATGTCAAAGATGGAGAGAACCTCTGCTATGAGAGGGGAGACGCTTGCCAGCACATCCTCTGAGCATCGGTGGTAAGCGGTCGACCGCGCTACAACGAGCAGCTGCAACACCGCTTGATGATTCCGCATTTCTTCTTCAATGTGCGTGAGATGAGAGTAATTTTGCTCCATCATTGAGTTCATGGTTCTTCCCAAAAATGAGTAATCCTTCTGAGAAAGTAAGTTGCACGCCATATGCATGCAATAACGGCAAAGGTCCGTGAGCGCTGCCAGCAATAACGCTTCTGGTGCCGAGTGAGGCGAACTCAGCGCTGCAACATTGTATACCTCATCGACCACCCCAATTAGTGTCTGGAGATCCTGGATCAGAGCAGAGTCCAAAAGTACAACACGAAAGCCTCCATGACTCTCCACCCACTCCTGCACACATTTTCGGAGTGTTGTGGCAAGTTGTATATTATGCAGTGTTGGGAAAGCTGATACATGCTTAAATGTGTTTAGGAACTCTACAAACGATGCTGTGGAGGCGAAGACACAGTCGTATCTCTGTGTTACCTCCTTCTCTGCAGCGGCCTCGAGAGATTGACTCTCCGCCACTTGCCTTCCTGCCCCCTGCTGCCGCTCCTCCATATCGCACTCCAAGGAAGAGCGAAGACTCTGTAGAATGATATTAGCCTCATACCACCGCGGAACCTCATCGCTGACGAGACGCTCAAAAAGCAGTCGGCGCTCCTCCAGCTGCTCGGCGTCAAGAACTGTCGTCGCTGTTGTTGCTGGGGCACTGCACCCAGTCATATCTGTTGCTACCGTAACCGATTCTCCAAATAGCTGGAAGAAAGAGTCATCGCCGTTGGGTGGCTGAGCTGTCGTGGACTTGTCTCCCTGCGCCATATCCTGCACAAAGCAGGCGGCGCGCGGTGTTTCGGTTGGTTCCGTCGGGGAAGAAAATAGTTCGTCCAGCAGGTCTTTCGGCTCTAGTCGCTGGGCCGCAGGTGGCGGAGGCCCCGAAACGGCGACGGCATCCCCAAAAGCCCCGCTTGGTGTGGCACCGTGTGCATCCGCGTGATTACACTCAGCGAAACTCCACATGTACGCCTTTGGCAATGCAGTTCAGAAAGACAAAAAGAAAAAGGTGCAAGTACGAAAAAAAAATTTAAAACAAAACACACGTACAACGTTCAGCCCGCCTCAACGCCAAATTGAGCATCCAACGACATGCCACGTAATAACAGTAGTTGTGTAGGCATGCGGAAAGGGAAGGAGAAAAAAGGCAGCAATCCTGTCATCCATCAAATACCCGTGCGCCGCCGAGTCGTACCGTCGCCGCGACGACTCATCGCCGCGGCCTTGCCACTGCTAGTGGAGAGCGCGCCGTGGTAAACGACGCCATGAACATTTCCCACCACGTGCCTCCCTGATGTGCTGACGAACTCCAACGGTTGCGTCATGCCCATCGTCGCGCTCGGCAGTTTGCCCACGTCGACGGTCTGTCCGCGTCCCATCATCTGGCTTCCCTACCTGGAGCGGATGCAGCAAGTCATTGAGCGGAAAGGAACATGCAGCGCGAAGCAACAGAGACAGCAATAACACAACAAACAGGCACTGGGGGGGAGTAAAGATAGAAAGAGAGAGAGAGTGTGTGTGTGTGTGCTTGTGTGGGCGTATAAAACAAAACAAAAAAGAGTGCAATGGAAGAGAAAGGGGGTCAACCGCCCTCGGAGAGCAGGTACCGACTGCGATCAGTGCATTCACCCGAGCGGTCTACGCGGAGCACCACCATAACGGCGTCGAGGATGGACTTGATGTTTTTGGTCACGAATACACTTAACATCTGGTGGCCTCGCCACCACAGCTGCATTCGCACTGCCAGCAGAGGGACATCACACACAACTAGAAGCAGCAACATATACTGAAGAATGCGACGCTTGTGGCTACCACCCATGTCAGTACTACTCCAATGAGCAGTGGCATCACGAAATTTCTTGGGCAAACACTTCAACTCTGCGTGTTCCACACCCTCACGCGTGTAAAACAGATGAATCACACCAATGTTGTTCCCAACAAACGCAACACTAACGATAATGATGATGAGGCATCGAAAGGGTTCGGGCGTTGGCGCAAACGCTGTGAGTTCCCGTTCGGGTGCGACAAAAGAGGTGTACATAGTTACGATATCGAGTGAGTTCAGCAGGTGCAGAAGAAGCAAGTTGAAATTGTTGGTGAAATTCTCAACAATGACATCCCTGCTCGGCGGAGCATACTCCACCGCCGACTGCTCACGAGGCACCGCAACGTAAAGCGGGATTTGAACAATGGGAATTGTTAGAAAGAGAACGGCCCGCACACCATTGGGGCCAAGTTCCCCATCGTCCGCGCTGATCTTCTGCGCGAGAGCCCACAAGGCAGTCATCTTGCCAACAAACAGCAAAACGCCAAGGGAAGTTGGCACGTAAAGATGTTGAAAGCGGCTATATGCATAGCATCCAAGGACACAGACATCTGCAACAACAGCTGCAGCAGCGGCGGGACCAGAGAACGAAAAAAGATACACATCCGTCACGACTTGCTGCAGAACGAATGAGAGCACATTGAGCCCATTAGACACACGTATACTACAATGAGGAGATATGCGGGCGCACGAGAGACCCAACGCCAGTACAACAAAGGCTGCGAGGCAGAACAGACAAGGAAGAGTGAAGCAGATGCCAAGGATTGTCATTACTTCACCCAAGCCATCGTTCATCAGAATCGTATCGTGGTTCACGATTTCAGAGAGGCCAAAAAAGACGCATGCGAACGATCCACCCGCAACCACACTGAAAACAACAAGAGTAATGAGAAATATGCGTCGTTGGGCAAGCTTCCGCTGTTCCTCTAGTTGCTCAGTCGATGCGAACACATCTAACGATTGGCGGGGCATCAACTAGGGCAAGAAAGTAAGAAAAAAATAAACCACAAGAAAAGATGGTCAAAGAAGAAAGAATATTAACTTCCGAAACATAGCAAACAACAATAAATAACCGAAAAAAGGAAAAATCTAAAACACCCATGTCTTACTTTTGGGTCTCCGCCTCCCTGAATAATATATATATTTGTAACGACTAGTGAGTGGGCTAATGCTGAGTTCACCTCTTCCAACTTCAAAGACATCCATAACGTCTTAACGGGGAATGTCTCCCTTCTGACGCACCTCGATAGGATAGCTTTGCACAGACGGGTAGTCGTACAGGAGTTTGTGGTCCTCCAGCTTCATCTTACCACTCCACAGATCCACACTGTTGGGATCAATACCTTTTTCAGCTGCGAGCTCGTTCTTGAGTTCCCACACATGTTTCATGGGGTCCACCATCTTTCGGTAAGCATTGGGGTATGGGTCATGGGCAAGGCCGGACTCACTTGTGTTGGGCGGCGGCGGTGGTGGTGGTGTCGATTGCTGCTGCTGCTGCTGCTGCTGCTGATAGTACGACCGCTGCTGTGGCATACGGGGCTGATTGGTGTTTATTTCCGCCGCCCCCGGTTTTTCGACCGGGGAACCGGGGTGAATCCCCGGCGGGATTTTACCCGAGAGCACATCCTTGTAGCGCTGACGTAGCGTACGGGCGTCTAGGCAGTCCGAGAAATTCACGCCCCGCTCATACAATTCCTTCGTGATGTCTGTAATTTTCATTGTATCGGCTGGGTCCTGTTGTGGCTCCACTTCGACCTCTATCGTTTCCACTTCAATCTCCTCAACTTTCATTTCCTCTGTCGCTGGTCGTTTGACAGCATCCTCCACCCGCTCAGCTTCGACACGCTCTGCCGGCTGCTTGTCATTCCCCAACACTTTCGCAACTGGAGGAGGCTCCACAACAAACTCGTCCCCCTCAGCTGAAGTGGTCCTCTCCGCCGACTTTGGGGGCGACGCGAAGGAGGCAGCCTTCTGTGGGGAATCCGTGCCCCAAAGTAGCTTCAGCAGCGCGTCAGCCTCGCTTTGAATGGCGCGTGCCTCATTTTGAATGTTCGAGAGACGCGCTGTGTAAGCCTTAATAGACGCCGTGAGCGTAGTACACTTACCTTTGAACTGCTCGTTGTCAACGCTTGTACGCTTCAGACTCTCTTGCAACGACCGCATAGCTGTTCGCGACGCGTCGTTCATGTCCGCCAAGTCCAAGCCCTGTCCCTTGCACTCCTCCTTCAGTGCACTCAGCTGCTTCGTGAGCGCCTCGCGCGCCTCACTGGTGATGGAAAGAAAGCGCACGCCGACGCTGACACCAACACCACAGCGGAGTTTCAGCCGCCGAAGCATCATACGTGTCTTCTATAGATGAGCCTAGAGCAGCGTTGCAGAATTATAATAATAGCACCCGCCACGCCCCGAGCGAAACAAATAAAAGAGAGAAGCAAACAAAGGAGTGACCACAAGGAGGCAGAACTGAATAAAGGGTGCGAACCAGGCGAGCCGTGAGACAACAACACCCCTCTCTGCCTATGTAGCAGTCGTGTAGCACAGAAGCACGCATTGAGAGAGTAGCACACCCCCACACGCCCATTGCCCAGCCGCCGTGCTGCAGGGGTCATGTGGAGACAGCGCACAGCACGTCCCCGCCAACGGCGTATTTGCGCAGGAATTCCTTTCGTTCCGCCTCGGAGCAAATAATACGCAACGTGAGGGAGCACGTAGGGCACTGGGCAACGTCCGCCCCACCGGCGAATTCTTCCAAGGGAAGCTCGAAGAGGTCACCACACGGGCATGGATAGCGCAGCAAATTCCCATCAACACTCATCTCACTCAACGCCACCTCTTCGTAGTGGAATGCGTCCATTATTAACTTCCTTATCGAGTGCACTTATTCGATGTTGCCACGGTGCTGGGTCTGGAGAGAAATAGACGCCAAACGAAGAGAGGAAATAAAGGTTCACGAAACAAAGAAATATATATATATATATATACATATATAGGACATAATCAACCGGCCGGTGGGCGACATTACAGAATTGGCTGCATCCTTTCCAGCCATCAAAGGACTACTGATGTACACTGTACGCGCAACGCAAACACGGGTGCGAGTCACTGTCACCACACAACTTCCGTCAACCCGCGAAAAAAAAAAACTCTTTGTCACTCAAGAACTACGGCATCGGTCGAAGTTGACTCCATGTGTCGAGCATATCATCAGTACAACCGCGAAGATTACAAGAATCACAATTAGGGCAACAATTGCACAGGTCACGATGCGTCGGCAAAGGAGTTGGCGTTTGACGTCTCTGGCGTTCTGCCGGAATGCTGAAGACTCCTCTTCCAGGGCGGATGATTTTAGCAGAAGCGTGTCAAGTCTGTCACTACGATACATCAGCCTGTCTACATTTTGCACCATTTCATCCTTCACATCCGCCATCATTGACCGAATCTCGCGTATCTTTTCACTCTCTGTGTCATTGAATAACTCCACTTCAGTCCTGAGCTCAGCGGCGAGGCTAAAAGGGTTGCTGCGCTGGGAGCTGCAGCGCCGTCGAGCGCCCTCGAGGAACTTGAAGGACACGGCACGACTGCAGCTGTCCTCGGTTACACACATGTACACTGTTCCATCCTTGTGCGGCAGTATGTCGTAGCAGTACCCGTTGTATGAAAGAGACCTCCTCTCCACAATAGGTCCTTTAATCCCCTTGAGTACTTTTTTAGCATTCGAGGCATGGCTGCTAGACGAGACATGAACATCCGCCAGTGGAGCCCCCTCGGCGGACGCCACGAGGGCGTAAAGTATAGTTCCCATCGTCCCGCATCAACTGCTCCCTACAAGGTACGAATTCACCATACCAGAGGGGGGCGAAGAGGATAGAGAGAGGGGGGGAAAAAGAGAGAGAAACACAACATTATGAATAATAATTCATAGTGTTTAGATTAGAACAGGGTGCAAGCAAACCAAAAAAAAAATCGTCGTAGCCAGTCCACAGCCCCTCCCATTCCAACTTCCCTTCTAGCCTTCCTCATCGCCCGCAGAAAAAGCTGCAACCAGGAAGGGTTTGGATACAAACGTTTTGCGTGGAAAAAAAAATGTCTCATTCAACTTCTGTACGCAATCTCCATCTTTATCTTCGGGTCCACCTCTAGTTGCTGGGAACTGTACGTCCAATTCGATAGCCATCTCTGAAGCCACATCACCGCAGTTGATGGGGTCGCGCTCAACACCGCATTCCGTACAGCTGGATAGGGTAATGCTGTCAAACGACGGGCCCGGCGCGATTGTCGAATATAACGCTCTACCCGATCGCGTCGGACCGTCTCAAACTGCCTAAAGGCATACTCAAACCCTGAATCGCTATGCAGCGGGACGTCAAGAAGTGAAGTGGCGAGCAGAGCAGCATCCTCAACACACAGCGAGGCGTCCTGCGCCAAAAATGAAGGAAGGGCGCCATGTGCAGCCTCTCCAATCACCACGGCACGTTTGTTGTACCAGCGAGGCATGATAGGAACCTCCACAACTTCCGCGGGAACGGCCACCTCCGCGCGGCCAAGCATGCTGGCGACAGTGTCACCAAATGAGGCGAATTCGCGGCGCAGCAAGCAACGGTACACCTCCCGCACAGCCATCGCATCTGTCTCGCCGCGGATGTCTACAACCTCCATTGGTGGGTCGTATAGTGTTGCGGAAAATGCGAGCTGCCTCTCCCCGTCACGGTGCAGCGGAACGCATGAGAGTGTTCGTCGCATGCCCCACACCTCGACAGGGAATTTACCGGTTGGCCAGAGGTCATCATCACGAAGCTCAACGAAACCATCCACCTGCGTCATTCCAAGCGACCGGCTGCTTGTACCAATATACTCACCCGGATAAAGAAGCTTGCGGATCGTGCTGTGAGCACCATCTGCTCCAACAACTACATCTCCCCATTCAGTCTGGTTGTCCTCTAGAACAACGTGGACGCCTCCCTTAATGCCGTCATGAGGGAGAAGATCCACCACTCGGCTGTTGAAGCGAATGTCCCCAACGTGCTGCCGCAAGATGCCCCTAAGGTAGTCTGCTGAAAAAGTTGCACGCAAAGCGACACAGCCAAGATCCTGCTTCGCCTTCTCTGCAAGGCGACGCGAGACAATAGACTCACTATTAGCAGGAGGGGCTGTGCTGAGAGGGATTTGGTCCTCCTCTCCCAAAGGCTTTAGCCGTACTGTCCGATTACGCACCTTTAGCATCCACCTGAGCCGTTCGTCGCGGATGCCAAAGTTCTCGTCTGAGACAACATCGCCTCCATCGAGCACATGATCCATTGAAAATGCCTTGTAACAACTCAGGGCATTGGCAAAGAGCGCAAACGGCGCCTGATAATTCGCGCGCAGAAATGGGGCCTGCTCAAGTACGACACAATCAACATTCAGGCGGTGAAGAAAAGCCGCCAGAGACAAGCCTGAGAGCCCGGCACCAACGATAACCACTCTCATTGCCCGTGCTGGATGTGGCAAGCAGAAAACGAAAAGGGAGAAGAAATGATCAACCATATCACGTGTCAATAGAATGAACACCAGCGATAATAACTACAAAACAAAAAAAAAACACAAACCCAGTGTACAATGCGCTCAAACTCTGCACTAACGTGCCACGAGCAAGAGTTCTTCGATAGCCCCACAATAGCTCTCCCATCGGGGTTTTAAGCTGTCACTCACCGTCAGACAGGCATCAAGGCATCGACCCAGGTGCAGCCGAACTTGTGTTCCCTTAAGGATGGGCTTGACAGCAGTACAACGCACCTCGACATCCCCCGCTTCTGTTACCCCCGTAACCGAAAGGATGGCATTTGCCGCAGCCCTTAATGGCACCCTTGCTGCCTTCTGTGCAAAACTCAAAAAACAGTACAGCCCCGCTGCGTTCTGTGTTGAGGCATCATGCAATGGGATGCCACCTTCCTGGAGGGACATCAGCAGCCAAGTGGCTGGTATCGGCTCCATCGGAGAGAAGCCCTTCAGCTTTTTGAAACCCTTTACCAAGAGCGCCGCTAACGACACGGCAACAGAGTCCGTCTGAGGCGAAATGGGTCGTGCTTCAATAAAAAAAACAGCCCCTCTGTGAGGCTTGCTGAGGACAAACAGCGCACGCATCAGCGCAGTGAAGCCCATTGCCCAATACTTCACTTGCTCGTCACCTATGGAGGTCATGGCACTCCATATAGCAGAGGCCGTTCTATTCCATTCAGCATCTTCTGTGGGCGGCACCGGTAGACCCCCAACGTCACCGCCACCAACATCACCGCAACGCCTCCCAGCAAAGATGAAAAGATTTTCACTCCACAAGGTCTCGCCCTCTTCGACCTGCCGCGATGTTATCCATCCTGTGTCAACATTTTTGGCCACAACACGCGGAGGCAATGTCTGCCCATCGCTGCTGCTTATGTACCCTATAGGAGGTGAGCAGCCAATCATCCTTGTTTGATAGCGAAATTGAAAGAACAAACGAGATAAAGAACAATGCATATGAAGAGTGTGAAGTTCAGGTGTTCCCATGCTGGGCACTTTCGACCTCAAGCAAACCAATCGAAAACGTTATTTTGTTGTTGTTTTTTGTTAGTATAGCGAGACACAGAGCTCCCACACACATATATGTACCATCAGGCGGTTAGCGCTATTCCCACAAGCCACTGCTGTAGAATGAAGGCTCTTGATTTCCCGCAGAGGCCGGTGAACTGTCTTTCACCACCGCGTCCTCTTGCAGTGGTGGTTCTGCGTCAACCTCCGCATTTTCACTCGGATCGTGGTTTTCTTCGCCGCCCGTTTCAGAAATGTTCACCGATGTTGCCGTGGTGGATTCTTCTTCTTCCTCATTAGCCGTACTCGCCTCTTCACTTTCCTCCACCTTGCTCTCTCTGTTTGAAGCTGCGCCACCCTCCACTGCCAGAGAGCTTGAATTCCCCTGTTGATTTCCTCGCAGCGTGCCACAGCCTTCCAAAAGCTTCCTCGCCAGTACAATGCTTGTCGCAAGCACGGATCTCTCGTCCTTTGCTGAATCCCCAAGAGGCAACGTAAGCTGCTCATCAAAGCAGCCCATCCGTCCTATGGTGAGAGAGCCAATGCTCATATCGAGCAGCTTCCAGCCAAAGATGTTGCATAAAAGTGTGCATCTACGGTTGGCCTCCAGAGACAGACGCCCCTCTATATCCTGCAGCAAAGAGGCAAACAAGTTACTATCCTGGGGGGGATTGACATGTTTAACAGCCGCCTCGTAGCGTTGTTTCCACGCCTCTGTTTCTTTCATCTGTGCATCCAGTTCGCGACGCAATGAAAGTATTTGGTGATTACTCTGCGTCTCCCGCTCAATCAACGCCTCAAAGCAGTCTTCAGAGGTCCTGGACCTTTTTTCCCCTGGTTGGGGAGAGGGAAACGCCCGATGACTCATGTCAATGACTGTGAGGTGCTTTTGATACTCATCACGAATCTGATTCAAGTCGCGACCCAACTTGGCTAGTTTCTCAACATCCTCCAATAGAGTGGTTGCCGTATCATCATTGTAGCAGCGGGAGTTAGAATCATGATCAAGCATTTTCTTACGCCTCTCTATGGCATCCAGTTGCTGCCTAAAGCAGCAATCCTGAGTAAAGAGGTATGCCGCTGTAGTCTCAGCGTCTCTCAGTGCTGCCTGCTGCTTCGTTTCTCGAAGATTCAATAGTTCATTGTAGAGCGGAAGGACGCTATGCACGCCCTCTTTGGCAAGAACCACACGTGTCTCAGCTATTTCCTCTTGTAGTTTTCGAAGCTCCGCTTCAAGGCCTTGGATCCGTTCGCCATTATCGTGTGGAGGTGTCCACGAAGACGGAGGCGATTGATGCGAGGCCGCTCTAGGCGTCGCTGCGGGAACCAAAGAAAGTATGTTCGTCTTTGATACTGCAGCTTCTTCTGGTATCTTTTCAGCCTTCACAGTCAGGTCGTGGAGAAGATTATCCGTCTCTTCCATTCTCTTTTGTAGCTCCTCAAGCCATTCAGGGGCGGCGGTGACGATATCCGTCGCCGCGACCTCTGAAGGCACACGCTGTACTGTTTTTGGATGCAAGTGGTGCACGCCTAATTCACGAAGACGATTCAATGCGCTTCGAGCGACTGCTGTGATTTCCTCAGTGGAATTTTGTGCCATTTTGTAGTGATCTCTCCGTGCGACTTGATTTGCGAACGCATCACCGGCGACGGTGCGCATGAGGTCCATGATGCCGCTGTGCAGCAGGGAACTCACACGCTCCTCCACATGTTCCTCGGTGTTGGTTCCAACAGCGCGCGCAGGGCGCTCCGCCCTTCGGTACCGGTCGGCCTCCCGTGACGACGACGACGACGACTCTGAATGCGTGCATGAATGGGAACGGACAAGGCCCTCCGGTGCGCAGGCCGATGCTGTTGAAGAGGATTCCGCAGCACTCTCCATCACATAAACGTCGCTGGAATGACTCGACATGGGCTTCTTCGCAGGTAACCACAATGAGAAAGGCATGAGAGAAACGAACACGGTTCAGCGGCAAAGACAAAAGACCAAAAAAAAAATAAAGGACGCAATGGACATTAACGCGTAAAGGGGCGTTGCAAATACAAACAAAGAAAAAAAATTCTAGGACCAGTGCATAGTACTAGTTTCCCTTAAAATAGCCATTTTTTTTTTTTGCGTCTACAGAACGGCTCCTACCTAACACTAAAAACAAAAGCGGAAACTCCGAGCGGCCCCGTCTCAGAGCAGGGTTGGCTTTTATTGCCCGGGTTACTCGAGGCGAGAACATGCATACAAAATGTATGGGCGTACCATTGGGGCACGTAAACAAATATAATTGGCTTCATTGAGGTATTTGCCCCATCCTTCAGAGACAGAAGTACCAGACCTAAGAAGAGCAACTTGTCTCTCGTCCACAAGACGTCAGCTACTGCTTAACCTTTCGGGACTTTACATGACTTTCATTGTCAATGACCGATGCGGAATCAAAACCAACGGCCACATGTTGTGCTTCGTCGTTGCCGCCTTCACCGTCTACGACAGCATCACGTTTTGAGAACTCCGCTGACTGTGCGGTCTGTACCCAATGCAGAGGCGAACGCCAACGTTTTTTAAAAAAACGTGTGGCAAACCAAAATAAAAATAAGATTAAAGCAACAGGAATAGCAAACACATAATTTGGCAGAACAGCTTCATTTTCCTGAATAACGGCCTCCGTCGGCAGCGGCTGTGAAAGCTTGAGGTGTTGTTGTGGCGTTCTATCAGTCGCATTCTCTGCTCCCACNGCGCCGCCGATGAAGGCACCGTTCTCATCAGCGTCAGCCGCCTTCTCCCCCTCCTCAACATCCGTAACCTCCAGGAACGCGGGCGTCTCTGGTGGAGCAGGTGCAACCTCAAGCTCCGCTGACACACCAATCAAAAGCACAATCAGGGACAGCAGAGGTGCAAGCACCAAATGACGCAATATGATTGCTCTCATTGTGCATTTCACCGCGGTGGGTGAAGGGGGATAAAACCTTCTTCTAATAGCGTTTAGAACCAGAAGGGAGAGCAGTCGCCAGTGGGCAAAAAAGCCGATTCAGTAACAGCAGCCCATCAGCGACACCACAATGTACAAGAGGGAGACAAACAAAAACAGTATCACAGAGTCACCCGACGCTCACATGACACTTCAAACACTGTTGTCAGCCTCCAACAAATGCATCACACGCTTCCAACGTCCCTTTCGGTTCTCTCGAGCGTGCACAGGTCGAGTCGAAGCCTCGTCCTCACCAGCAGACGGCTCATTCTCCGTACAGCCGCGCATCCACAACAGAGGATGCCGCAAATCCTCCTCACGAACAAAAAACCGCCTTGTTGCCTCACTTAGACGATGCAAACGTCTGTGTATCTTCTCCTGAGCAAGTTGAGCCTGCAACTGCTCCGCACCAGCGTCCTCCACTTGCGAGGACCGGTAGTTGTCGCGACCGTCGTTAACACTTGCGCAGTTGGCATCTGTTAACTGCAGCATTCCCACAGAAGACTTCCACACAATTCGACGCTTCTCCTTCTCTACGTCTTGAAGCACCACATGATCCCACCGTGCATCCCGCACACTCCGTAAAGCCACGCGAAGCTCGTTCTCGGCATCGCACGGTGTCAACTCCCGCGTCCGCCACATAAACATCTGCCTCGCCGCATCGTAATGGCAGGTCGCGAAAAACGACACATACGTCCCAGTCGATGGAGAGGGCATGTCCCTCTCTGGCAGTACTTGCGCCTTATCAGCATGACTCCCGGTGGAATGGAGGGGAAACCGCACACTCGTCGGGTCCCTCCGTGCGGGAGTCTCACGATGCTGACTTGATAAAATCGACTTCGCCCCGTCTGTTGCCGACGCCCCCGCAGGGGATGTCAGTGACGCTAGCAATGACACTGGAGGGGTTGCTGCTTGAACGAAGCCGTACCCTCTGTTGGGAAACACCCTGTCAACCACACCGATCATTCGAAGTGGGGGGAACTGAGAGACGCTGGTTCCCCGAAGCTGAGCCCTCAGACAACGTCCCACCGAGTCCCGGGGGATACGTCGACGCATCCTCTCACCTTCCGGCCGCAGACACAGACACACACACACACACAGAGAGAGAGAGAAACACGAGATGCCCGCACCGTTAACCTGGAAAAAAAAAAATGACAGAAAGCAAAGAAAACAAAACTTAAAAAGAGACAATACAGATCCTATAAACACCAATGCTTATGGTTTTTCCTATGAACACGTAAATGATCCAGCTTCGATAAAAACACGTCCACGAAGGGGGCGAAACGCATAAGCCGAAAAGACTCTGGATAACACTGTGGGCCGCACGCCCATTAAAAGTCACCAATATAACAGGGGGAAAAAGGACGGCAAAACTTTGCTTCAACTCCGCGAAGAGAAACCGTGGCCAAGAGAAGCCTCACTGGTGCACAGAGAGCTCACCGTCAGCTACACACAACCAGGAAGAAAAGTACAGGTAAAAGGCCATGAGAGAAGGAATGCCAGCACCCAACAGGGCAGAAGCCTGAGGTAAACACACACGAACAGCAGGAAAGCTCGTGCGTGCGAGACCGATGCGCATTACACACGCCGAGTGATGTGAGTGGCTTGAAACACACATGTCTCTCTTCCAATTGCACCCTTAAAGCAACAGAAGGATGGTAGCCGCAAGAACAGAAATAAGAACCGCGCATAAATTGGCCACACCCCCAACTGTGTAACCTTCTTCGCTGTGTCCGGTCTCGCTATGTCAACTCAATAAATATCCCTCAAACAGCTGCTGTTATCATAACCCTGTCCACACGCTAGCAGCCGAGAGAAAGAACGTCCATAGCTGTACGTGTGGGTCACCGTTTGACTGCGGCAACTCCTCAGGTCAGATGGTAGAGCATCGGTCACGGTCATATTCCATAAATCGGTACAAATGAACTGTGCACATGACACATGGGAAGAACGGCCCGACATCGAGCAAACAGAGCACGTCAACACTCTCCGTATGAAGCCTATTACAACAGGGAGAGAAGAACAAATATTGGGGTAGATCTTTCCTTTGAGAATGGACCTACCACAGAAGAGTGTTTTTAAACCCAACGGGGAAAACACATCATCAGTGTGCAACCTGACTTCCGCAGGCTACAACATTAATGAAACATAGGGCTTTCGCCGTACAATTCGCACCTAAGCATGGCGGCCCGAGAATGCGGTAGAGCAACCAAAACTGAAGACAAAAGCCAGCAGGGCCACACACCTCCTACATATTACCACTATCCGACAATGGCACAAGAAACCACTTCAACGCCAACACATCAGGCCGGTTCACGTGAAATCAAAGTTCCACATCCGAGCCCCATCTTCCTACCTCCCGCACAGCCAAAGCAGAGACTCCACTCTTCGCAGCCAGCACAATCAAAGAGACAGCTGCGCGCAACCGCCTTTACACAGTTAATCGGCACTCCACACCGAAATGAAAACGTCGGCATTAAAAACACCCGCCGCAGATCTACAGTAGGAAAAAGGGAAAATAGATCATTCACGTTGCTAACAAGCTGCAGTCACCCCACAACAAAAAGCACTACAACAACGCCAACTCGCTCAACAGTCAGGCACTTGGTCCTCCCCGCCACCACGAGCTCTCAGCACAACGCTGCACTCCTTGCGACGCAGCATCTGACAAATACGCGGAGTAGAAGGCCCCTGCTGTCCGGGACGCACCACCACCGTTAAGCACAACCCCGTTCACGGTCTCCAGCTCCGCTGCCGTTACACTCGTCTCTCCACACAGCCCTGCATCCAACTGAAGAAGAAACGCCGCGTTCAACGCAGACACGCAACCAAGAGAAGAAGTAAAATACTCCCCGTCAGCACTACTTCCCTTCACAAACAGCAAACCCGGTGACAAATCCTCCACTAAACTTTGGCAACCTCCATCAACAGCACTGCACCTTGTCGCGGAAAAGCATCCATTCCCCATTCTAACAACCTTACCAAACTAAAAAAAAAATAAACACACGAAAAAAAAGGGTCGCAGGTACT